GGGCCTTGATAGTGTAAAAGGCTGGGAATCAGTGAGCTAGATGATAGGTGATGAAAATGTTTGCTATGCACCTGGAGCTATAAAAACAGGTTCATTGGGACATACAGCCAGAAGGGATCTTCAAGATCATAGGTAAAACCTGAACTATGAAGTTTTAGGGGATGCTGTTTAAAGGAGTAAAGGTAATCTAGTTTTGGGAAGGAAGGTGGATAAAAGCATAAATGTGAACAGTATTAGCATAGTATGTGCTTGGGAAAGTACTGAAACAGATCTGACAAGAAAGGAAGGTTCATGATGAGTAACAGCGGATAATCAAAGTTATGTAGTTTGGGGGATATTGTGGAGGATCCTCTCTCATTCAGAAGTAGATTCCTGTAGGCTACAATCACATTCAAAGGTTTCTCCTCAGTATCAATCCTCTGATGTTGAATAAGGTGAGAACTACAATTGAAGGCTTTCCCACACTCCTTACATCCATAAGGTTTCTTCCCAGTGTGGATTCTCTGATGTTAAGATGTGAACTACAACTGAAGACTTTCCCACGCTCTTTACATCCATAGGGTTTCTCCCCAGTGTGGATTCTCTGATGCTGAAAAAGATAGGCGCTACAACTGAAAGCTTTCCCACATTCTTCGCATTCGTATGCTTTCTGTCCACTATGAATACTCTGATGTTGAACAAGATATGAGCTACAACTGAAGGCCTTCCCACACTCCTTCCATTCATAGGGCTTTTCGCCAGTATGAATTCTCTGATGTACAATACAGTGAGAGCTATAAGTGAAGGCTTTTCCACACTCCTTACATTCATAAGGTTTTTCACCAGTGTGAATTCTCTGGTGCTGAATTAAGGCTGAATTATAACTGAATGCTTTCCCACATTCTTTACATTCATAGGGTTTCTCTCCAGTATGAGTTCTTTGATGTACAATGCAAAGTGAACTACAACTGAAGGCTTTCCCACATTCCTTACATTTATATGGTTTCTCTCCAGTATGGATTCGCTGATGCCAAATAAGGTCTAAGCTTCAACTAAAGGCTTTCCCACACTCCTTACATACGTAGGGTTTTATCCCAGTGTGAATTCTCTGATGTACACTTAGGCTTGTGCTGCACCTGAAAGCTTTCCCACAGTCCTTACACTTATAAGGTTTTTCTCCTGTGTGAATTTGCTGGTGATGAATCAAATCTGAGCTCTTGCTGAAACCTTTCTCGCACTCTGGACATACATAGGGTTTCTCCCCAGTATGGAGCCTCTGATGCCGAGTCAGATTTGAGTCCTGACTAAAGGCGTTCCCACATTCATTACATTCATATGGTTTTTCACCTGTGTATATCCTTTGATGCCGAATAAAAGTTATCTTCTGATTGAAGGATTTTCCACACTCCTTACACTCATAGGGCTTCTCTCCAGTGTGGAGTCTTTCATGTTGAATAAGGTGTGAGTTCTGCCCAAAAGTTTTCCCACATTCTTTACGCTGATAGCGTGTATCTTTGGTGTGAAATCTCTGAGGATTTTCCACACTCCTTACACTCATAGGGCTTCTCTCCAGTGTGGAGTCTTTCATGTTGAATAAGGTGTGAGTTCTGCCCAAAAGTTTTCCCACATTCTTTACGCTGATAGCGTGTATCTTTGGTGTGAAATCTCTGAGGCTCAATAAGATATGAATTAGAACTAAAAGTTTCCCTACAGTCATTATGGTAGTGAGGTTTCCTTCTACTGTGTATTTTCAGATGTTGATAAAAATTAGAACTTTGATGAAAACATTTGCCACAGTCTTCACATGTATAAAATGTTTATCTTTTAGGAAATTTTGGATATGCAAAAAAGTCCAAACCAACACTAACATTTGTTTCTACTTCCTTATGTTTCTGAGATTTCCCTTTCAAAGTCGTTCCCTTAGTCTTAACTGTCAGTTTCATTAAAGCTTTCTCTTCTCTCCTCCTTCTCTCCCTTATGGGATTTCCCTGCTGTTCCTCTAAGATGTTTTCCAGTTCACATAATTCCCTACAGTGTGGTCCCTGGTAAACATTACCCTGGAGTACAACTGATGTCACTATATGGGGTTCTGTCTCTTTAGAAACTGATGTTTTCTGAGTTGATTCTTCTTTTTCAGTCCTGGTGTTACCTGATAGGAAATAGAAAATGCAAATATTACTGGTTATCTGTCTTGGGTGGAAGGGAATTGGTCATAGAGTAAGTGTTGTAAAAGCATGTCTTTGGTATGCCTAAAAAAAATGGCTTCATTTGATATCAAGAACAAGGAAAGACAAGGAAAAGTTCCCAGATGTAATAAGGGTAGTTGAAATATCAGAACTGGAAAGCAAAGACGGGGCAGTAGACATTTGCCTAAGGAGAAGAGAAGCTGCAAAACAGCAGCAAGAGGGAGAGTCAATGACTGAGGGTACAGCGAATAACTGTAATAACTGGCAGGTAAGGGGTAAAGCCGGGAAGTGAGAGAGTGGTGCTCCTCTGGAGAGGGACTCTCATGATGCTAAACCTTCTGAGACACTTCTTGACCTCAACACCTTGGTGCCATATTTTTTTTCTCTACGGATTCTAGGCTTTAGGGCTTCTGCCCTGTAGTTCAGTGTAACCAACCACCTACTCTGCCACCTGGGTTTCTCTCAACTAAGGACCACTATGGAAAAGGACATTTCCCAATTTCTCCCCTACCCTGTTACTTTATTTAAAATAAAAAGCAGGGGCAGCTAGGTGGCGCAGTGGATAGAGTACCGGCCCTGAAGTCAGGAGGACCTGAGTTCAAATCCGGACTCAGACCAAACACTTGACACTTACTAGCTGTGTGACCCTGGGCAGGTCACTTAACCCCAATTGCCTAAAAATAATAAAAAATAACAATAATAAAATAAAATAAAATAAAAAGCAAAGTGGGAAAGTGGTCTTAAAACCATTTCATCAAAACAACTCTGTGAAGGAGACAGTGCAAATGTTATCATCCCTATGTAGAGGCATCTAGGTGCCACAGTAAATAGTGCGCTGGGCCTGGAAGCCACTCAAATCCAGTCTCAGACACTTTATTAGCTGTGTAACCCTGGGCAAGTCATTTAACCTCTTACTGCCTTAGTTTTCTCAACTGTAAAATTAGTAGTATTAAAAGCACCTACCTCCCAAGGTTGTCGTGAGGATCAAATTAGATAATATTTGTATTAGCTGTGCCCGGCAAATATTAGACATTTAATAAAAACAACCTCCATTCCTTCCAATTTCATAGATAAGGAAAATCAGGCCCATAGAGGGAAAGCAGCTTTCCCATTTATTGACAGTAACAGCCAGAACTGAGATTTTAAAATTCCTGACTTTTTCCAACTGTAATATCTACCTCTGACTTTCAATGAAATGTAAATGTGAACAGTAGTGCTGGTTCTTCGTGATCCCACTAACCCCCAACTTATCCATTTATCAGTTGTTGTAGAGTACATTTTTAGGTGTGTTTTTTTTTTAATATGAGGCAATTTGGGGTTAAGTGACTTGCCCAGAGTCACACAGCCAGTGAGTGTTATGTGTCTGAAGCTGGATTTGAATTCAGGTCCTCCTGACTCCAGGGCCAGTGCTCTATCCACTGCACCACCTACCTGTCCCTGGGATTCATTTTTTACAACAGTATTTTTATAACTGTATTTCAACATAATTTACTTCTTTTACAACCTATTTTTTATTTTATGCATCTGAAAACATTATTATGACAAGGGCCCACAGGCCATACCATATTGCCAAAGGAGTCTCTGACACACAAGAGGTTAAAAATCTCTGCTCTAGAGAGTAAGTCCCACTCAATCCCTCTCTTGTTACTAAGAGACATGTAGTTCCTGGATTTCACAGCCCCCTCTTTCCTACGCAGACTATCACAAGTGAGCATTAGCAGTTGGCTGCTGATTACCCGCCTTATACAAAGGGCTCTAGGAGGTTTTTTTATGTCTCAGAAACTCCATCAATATCTCCCTACTTTCCAACGGAAAAATCATCCTGCATCATATTCTGACATCTGCCTGGAGATCAAACGGCATGGAAAGTAGAGAGAGGGATTTTTCAGTAAGGTAAAAGCCACACTGCAAATGAGATTGAAAGACAGGGAGTGATGAGCTTCTGCTCATTCTGGAAATAAGGGTAATGGGGTAGGTAAAAATGGCTATGGGAACCAGCAGGAGTGATAGACCTCTGACTGCTTACTGTAACACTGGGGGAAATAAAACCTACAAAAATTTTGAGTTTTAAAAAGTTGAGAGAAAGGATGAGATCAAGAGAGCTGGTCTGTGTTCACTCACTTGTGCAGACGTGTATTAGGTCTTCTCTCTCCAAAGTTCCCTATGGATCCACGATCCATGGCTCTTCCCCTCTCTCTAGCTGGGTGATCGTGATACGTTTAGGAAATGCAAATGCTATTTAAACGGAGTGAAATGGGACAGAATGGTTAATTAAATCCAGGCAGAACTGATCCTGCCAGCCATCCCAGTCCTGTGTCTGGAGAAACCAGCAAGGAGGAAAAAGAAACACCGAAAGAAAGAGTAAGTACCAGGAAAGTCAGAGGAACAGTGTTGTACTTCTAGGAGAATATGGTCAGGAGAAAAAGTTGGTAATTTCACTTAAGAGGATATACAGCCTTCTGTTGGAGAATGGGCTAGAGTTTCATCCTAGGCAAGAGAGCTAGATGGAAAAGCTGAGATTTGACAGAACCTGGATGCTCAGACAAAACAAAATGTGCAGAGAGCAAAAATCCTCAAGAGTAGGATTTTCACTAAGGAAGACACAAGACACAAAAGTTCTGCCTTGTTATCTATAGGACTACAGATAATCCTTGATCAGGGCTGTCAGATTAGGAACCTCAGAGCCAGTATCATGCTACATATTATCAGAAATCCCACATTCCCTAAAGTAAAGAATGCTACAAAACCCTCAAGTGTAGCTTCTGAGTCACAGTGTGGGGAAGAGGCCTTACCCAAGGAGATCATGTTGCTGTAATTCTCCAGCACCACATGCCTGTACGATGCCTGCTGGAAAGGTGTGAGAGCTTCCCACTCCTTCTGGGTGAAGTACACTGCCACATCTTCAAAAGCCACCGAAAGCTGAAATACAGTCCTTCTCCCTCAGGGACTATCCAGGATCTAATCCCTGGGCCAGGGAAAAAGCTGGCAACATAACAGAAAAAGGCAGGAGAACGTCGGCACATACATCCACGAGGACCAATGGAAAAGGAGATTACATGGGGAGGAGGCAAAGAATGAAATTATACCCTTCCCTCCCACCTAGAAAGGAAGATGAGCTTGGCATCAATTTCCGTTTTGCATTGGAGAGAGTTCTCTGTTCTGCCATTTAACAGTTGTGTGGCCTTGAGTGAGTTACCTCATTTCTCTGAGTCTTTGTCATCTTCTCTGTAAAGAGAAAGGGTCTGACTAGAAAACCTAATGTCCATTTTATCTCCTAATGCCTATGATCCCATGACTCTACAAGAAAACCCCAAATGGGATCAGAAAGAGTTAGGCATGATTGAAAAACAACTGAACATCAACCCTTCGAAGAACAGTGGGGCCTCTTGGGCATATTCTTGTATGACACCACCAAATACCTTCTCATAGGTGCCCCAAACCTCCACGTGACTCTTGCCTTACTCTCCACATACCATCAATTCTACCTTCTGGGGTAAAGCAAAATAAGTCTTAATCTTGCTTCTTGTATTTCTACAGGAGTGGAGAGTTTCTCAGCTGCTACCATATCTTTTTCTCTTCTTTCCCTCAGTATCTATTTCTTTTCTTTAGCCTGGCCTCTCCCAACAGGAGCCCTTCTGATGAATGAACATGTATGGAGATACCATTAGTTCTGGGCCTTGGATTTACCAAAATCACCCTCTGGATCTTGGGAGTCTCTGAGAAAACCAATTTGCTTAAGGAAGGTCAGAAAGAACCACAACTCACCTCAGGCCTGACTGGCAGAAGCCTGTCCAGCCAGTGCCCAGGCTTCTGGGCTGTTCTGAGGAAAGGCCTGAACAGCCTCAGGAGCTGCAAAAGAGAAAAACAGCTGGTGTAGGTCGAGGCTCGCCCATCCCAGCAGCAAGGCAAGGGTCCCTCCGCCATCCAGGTACTATGAGGACCCCTGACCCACCCAACAACGATCCTTCAAATGCGAGAGGTTGGAGAGACTAGCCAAGGCCAGGAAACGATGGGGGCGATTAAAAACTGGCCTGAGCTGCCCCAAACCGAGACCTACCAAAAATAGTTTCGGTTCCTGAATGGTTTTTAATTATTTTTTTTTAATTTTTAGGCAATTGGGATTAAGTGACTTGCCCAGGGTCACACAGCTAGTAAGTGTCAAGTGTTTGGGCTGTTGGTCTGAGGCCGCATTTGAACTCGGGTCCTCCTGACTTCAGAGCCGGTGCTCTATCCGCTGCGCCACCCAGCTGCCCCTCCTATAGGTTTTAAGGTTTACGAAGCATTCTGCCCAGGATGATCATTTGGGGAGGGAGCAGATATTGTTAGCCCTATTTTGCAGATGAGGAAACTGAGGCTCCGCAAGGGGACGTGGCTGCCTCAAGATCCACAGAGAGTCAAGATTCAAACCCAGTTCTCTGGGCTGCCAATCCTGGGCTCCTTCCGCAATGACACGAGCTGCCAACAGGCGAGGGAGGTCACAGAGACTCCCCGGCTGGAGAGTGGGAAAGGCCCTTGGAGGGAGGCTGGGCCCCAAGAGGAGGAGGAGAGCAGAACCGTGCGGGGAGAGAGGACGCTCCTCCCGGCAACACTCCGGGACGCGCCGAGTCGACCAACAAGGACGAGGAAGGGTGCTAGCCTCAGAGCGGAAGTGGGCCATCGCCAGGAGCACCTGGGAGGGACTGGTTGAAAGACAGCTGGGCGCAGAAAGTGCGTCAGACGATGATTTCCGGTCGTTCAGACTCCGCCTCCTCTCTAGGAATCGTGGAGGACCCCGCGTCTCGATAGTGCTGAGGACTCAGAGCCTGTGGGAGGAGCCAGAGGGAGAGTCAAGCCTTCCTGGGAGGGAACTTTGGGTGAGGGAGGCGGAGTCAGATGGGAGCGTGAGTGCAGCCCATGAACTGGGGAATGTGAATGAAGCTTTCACCCTGGAATGGCACACAGAAGGGGATCAGGGGCACAAGGGTCCAGGAAGTCTGGAGGGGAAATAAGAGGAGGGGGAGACAAAGAGAAGACCGCCACTCAGTAAATGTTATCATCTCCAATTAGAGTGGCTCCACCATCCCCCTCCCGCACCCCATCCCAGAGCGACCCTTATCATTTGCAGGCTTCACCCGGATATTCCACTTTGAAAACAGACAACCTGTGAGCAAACACGTGCATACTGGTGGTTTTGACCAGAACTCTGTGTGTCTAGCTCTTCATCTTGTTCCATTTGCCTTGACCTGCGCCCCTATTCTGCCTCTCACTCCAAGGATTCCTTCATCCCTTTTCTCTATTCCCGATGCTTCAGGAACAAACCTCTTTTGTTGTTGTTCAGTCGTTTCAGACTCTTCTTTATGACCTCATTTGGGGTTTTCTTGATAAAGATACTGTAGAGGTTTGTCATTTCCTTCTCCAGTTCATTTTACAGATGAGGCACCTGAGGCAAACAGGGTTAAGTGACTTGCTCAGGGTCACACAGTAAGTGTTTGAGGCCAGATTTTAACTCGGGAAAATGAGTCTTTCTAACACCAGACCTGGCACTCTCTCCACTCTGACACTTGGCTGCTTGCCCCTGTTCTGAATACTAAGGAAGTTACAAATCTTAAGACATCTTTCCTGCCACCATGAACCCTGCAATTTATCAGGGGAACATGACACAAATACAAATTACGATATGATATATTCAAACTGTCTCCCAAAAGTCTTAGTGCAGTACTAAGATGTTATTAAAACATAACCATTCCCCATCAACCACACACTAGCATAGCCTCATCTTGCATTTTGTCATTACAAGGTGCTGCTCTAGCTCTGTGATCTTTAACCTGACAGGCTATTTTCTTCTTTTCAATTTCTGTTAATTTAACTATACTCCTTAAGTCCTTCCTTCTTCACTTCACTGCTTTATTTGACAGGATAAATGAACTTGCAAACTCATTGCCTCTGAAATTATCTCTATGCAGTTCTGAGTATCTAGTCTTCATCTATTTCCTGAGCTCCAGGCTCACATTACCAAATGCTTGTTAATGTCTTCTTCCCATAGGTATCTCAAACATGTTTAAAGCAGAACTCTATTGTTTCCCCTTTTCTAAGTTCTGTTTTTTTGTTGAGGGTACCACATTCATATTCTGATGACCCAAAGTCATTCTCAACATTCTCCTTCTCAGAGTTATCATCATCTCTTTCTATATTCTCACTCCTCATATTCAATCAGTTGCTGAATCTTAATAATTCTTTCTTGGCATCATCTCTCAAATCATTCCCCTTCTCTTCTTTCACATGGCCAGTTAAGCATAAAAAAGAAAAACAAGAAGAAACCCCTAGTACAGCAACAGAGGTGGCATCAGGTAACCTGGGAATAATACTTGCTGGCTTTGGAGTTGAGGACTGTAGTTTCTGATTCTGGTTCTGTCTTTACTACCTGTGTGGCCATGAGTATGTCACTTAAAATCTCCACTGTAAAATGAAGAGATTGGATTGGATGCACTCTAAAGCTCCTCCAAGCTTTACTATGGGCCTATGATTCCCAGTAGATAATTTAAATGTATACACCATTCTTTCTCTCCTAATATTACTGCCCCCCCACCTCCCCGTCTCTCTCTCCTGAGAGAGGAGGGCCACTTCATTTCAGAGAAAACTGAACCACTAAGAGTGAAGGTTACTTGACCTAAGTGACAATCTCCCAAATCTGAATCTTCACAGCTAGAGGAAGCTAATAGGGGCTTAAGGAGGGGTGGGGGGGGGCTCCTGCATCCCTCACTCTGATCCCTGCAGGATCAGTCCCTTCTCTCCTCGGTTTACTGGACCTCCACTGGGGGCCAGTGTTGCCTCATAGAGCCGTCCATTTGAATGCAGTACTGCACTGGAGCTTTTAAGAGCACCTGTAGCTCCTGGTCACCAATGAGAACACCGAGCAGGCCAGAAGGCAGTTAGTAGTAGCCTGTGCTTGGCCTGTAGGCAACCACATCTCAGTGGTACTTCCAGCTCCTCTAAGTAGCTGCTTGCCTTTGGGTGATGCTGTATGACCCAGAGTGACTACAGATTCTTGGAGCTGCCCTCTTTTCCCTCCTCCAGCACACCTTATCTGAAGTAGAGGGAATGGCAGTGTCCCTGCCTTCAATGCCTCCATCACGGGCTGGAGCGGAACATCAGCAGGCCAGAGATGGATGGGTTCAGATTCACCAAATCTCATAACCCCAATGTGACACAGACAAGCTGACTCACGTCCAGAAGACAGTCACCAGGGTAAGAAAGGAGATGCAGACCACACCACATGAGAATTCATTTAATTTATTTATGGATTTAAAGAAGTGAAGCCGTTTAGTCTGGAGGAATGACTAGGGAGGCTCAGAAGCTGTCTTCAAGAACTGAAAGAACATCACATGAATTAAGAATCGTTAGACTTCATCTTTAGGCTAATAGGGAAGAACTAGTAGAAATAGTGGGGAGCTGCCAAGAGGAGATTTAGGCACCACTATGTAAGAAAAAATGTTCTTCAAGACCATTCTAAAAGACTTTTTGAGTGAGCTACCCTTAGGAGAGTTCTTGAAGAGAGGCTATATGAAACTTGTCACCTATGTTCTATTAAGGGTTCCTATTCAGGTGGGGGTTATACTCAATAGCCTATGAGAGCCTTACAGCACTCTAAAATTCTACAATCCATTTCTTTCCAAATTTTTTAAAAAATTATTATCATTTTTATCATCTCATTTGACCCTCACAACCCTTGGAAGGTAGCTGGGGCAACTATTATGAACCCCATGTTAGAGATAAAATTAATTTGCAATTCCAAAATATTAAGTTGTTTTATTTACCTAAGTCATTGAATTGAGATGGATGCCTGGGCTCTCAGATACTGAGGCCAATGGCCTGTTCTACAGCACAGACTTTCCTAATCCCTGCTGGTCTACGTTTTATAACTAAAGACCCTTGTAATACCCTATCCTGGTTCACATAATTGTCCAAAATTGAGGGTTGGCGAGCATGCACATTTTATTTGTTGATTCCTTCTGCTGTGATTGTAAATTGTAGGTGCAAGAGATACACTTGGGTTTTTGTCAGACAAGTCTTAATGGGTCCATGCCTTTTTTCTTTTCTGATTTTTTAAAAATCACACCTGAACTCAATAGAAATATTACCTAGCAACTGAAATAGAGGCCACACTTTGTCCCTAAATCAGACATGTATAAAACCCAGGGTGTTGCCTGTAGTCAGAGCTTAAGTCTCCCTGGCTTTCCCAATGGCAGGAGCAGTAATAAAAACAACAGCTTACATGTAATATAGAACTTTAAAGTTTGCAAAAATTCATTGGGGTAGGTAGTGAAAATATTATTATATTGCTTTTGGGTTTTTTTGCCTTCTCAATGTGTAGGGGATGGGGAGGGGAGAGGGAGAGAATTTGGAACTGAAAATAAAACAAAATGGAGTTTTAAAAAATATTAAGTCTATTTTACAGAGGAAACTGAGGTTAGAGGTTGTTATTTGCCCAAGTTCACACAGCTAGTGGTACATTGAGCATTTAACCCCAAGACTCCACTGCCCTACAAAGCCAGTGCTTTTCACTATATCTTTTTTTTAAAATCTCATATTTTTTTTAACTTTTAGGCAATTGGGGTTAAGTGACTTGCCCAGGGTCACACAGCTAGTGTCAAGTGTTTGGTCTGAGGCCAGATTTGAACTCAGGTCCTCCTGACTCTATGCACTACACCACCTAGCTGCCCCTTTTCACTATGTCTTGTTGCCTGAATAACAACAGCTTTCTCACAAACCCACCCCACCTGAAAGCACTTATTTGGGACTCCCTTGGCATGGGTGTTGCAAGGCAAAGCAGGAAAATGGGAATGCTTGTAGTGCAGAGGAATGAAAGTCAGAGGATCTAGCTCTATGACATCCTACTGTGTGACCGTGAACAAATCAATTAGCCTTTCTGGGCCTCAGTTTCTTTATCTGTAAAAGGAGGAGGCTGCACTAGTTCCAGCTCCTTGGATAGCTCTTTTACCTCTAAATCTATAATCCTATGTCCAGCTGGAAGCTACTTAGGGAAGTATTTGCATAGATATAGTAATTGAATTAACCAACCAATGAACATTCATTAAGCCATGGAAGCTGATAAAATCATCCAGGAAGTACAGGGAAAACACACAGGACGAAGCCTAAGGGAATGCCACAGTTA